CTAATTCTATTGTGTGATTTATGCTGCATTTCAATGTGTTTGATATGTGCATTTGCATGAATTTGAGGCAATATGATTACTTGTTGTGATTGTTTGTATCCATAGTGGGTTGGGATGCATTAGCAGTATGGTTTATGTCTTTTGGTGAGGTGGAGTTTAGATGTCTAGGGGTACACTTTGGTTTCTACTGGGAATGTGGAGTGTGACATTTGAATCACGAGTAGAGATATGATTCAATGTCTAGAATCATTTATATATGAAGAGACCCTGATCAGGTGGAGTGTGAGAGAGACACTTATATCACTTCTGTTAGGTGGAGACCTATTATCCACGTAGCTTGGGAGGAGTGATGTGGTGATAAAAGATTATTCCTTGGACTTAGAATCTATAGTGACTTACTAGTTAGACTTGGATTGAGTTATCAGTCTAGTGAGCATGGTATGCGATGAGAGGAAATATGTGTTCTCGAGGTATGAGGAACACGGGGATAGGATAAGTATGATGAGATCTTTTCTTGGGTTATTTATGCATTTGTTACATATGTGTTTGACCGCGTGTTTGATTAACTTGGTGTTAATCTATAGTTTTGTGTGAACGTGTTTTTGAAAGGATCTATGTTTGTTATCCTGTAATATATCTTCATTGCATGTTTATTTATTCTTGATCGTTTACTCGAATATTTGCACCTACTTGGGTGCTCTTTAACTTAGCCTTGTTGAGTACATGATGCATGTATGGTATGTATTTCAGGTTGGAAACACGAGGTAGGGTCTGTGATTCAATTTTATAGGTTGCCTTGATTATGCAAGTGCTAACTACGTGTTTTAATTGTTTGCAGATTTATTGGACATTAACTGAAGATTTGTTGGATTTTTTATACCCAATAAATCTAGAGTTATGATGTTAATGTGGGATAATGTATTTCATAGGCTCAGGCTAATGAATGAAATAAGTCCAACAACTAAGTTCATGAGCTCTACCCAATCTAATTGTATTATTTCTTGGATGGCTTGAATCTGGATTCGTTTAGCTTTCTTATAGGTCCAACTTAAAGCCTAACCTAACATGTTCATAAGGTTACAAATCTAGCTATTTTCTATTATGATTTATGTGTGAATTAAGGAGAAACTCAGCTGCCCCTTTGAAGTGCCAAAATCAGTTGATTACTTTGTGTACTTTATGGTCCCTTCATAGCCTACTTTTGTGGTATTTTCTCATTACCTTTATGGCTACAAATCATTACCGTTTCTTATCATTTATGGGTAAGATTGAATAGCAACCAATGTGAACACATTGGTTGTGAATTAAAGCCAGTTGGTTTGATTGTTTGGTAAATAAATGTACTTTGGATTGAGCCCTGAAAACACCTATTTGAAGATCTTTGGAGCGAGCTTCTGCAACAATGTTATTATTACTTAAATTATGGATGAGATAATTCGTAAAAGAATAGACAAAGATTTTAAGTTTGATCATACTTGATGCTTGAAATATGAATGAGATAGTTCGTATAAGAGCAGACAGAGATTTTAAGTTTTAACATCATTACTACTTAAAATATCGAGACATAATCTGTACTAATAGACAGATTTTAGAGTTCGAAATGGACGAGATAATTCGTATCAAAATAGACAACACTTTTAAGTTCGAATGTATTTATTACGTAAAATATATATGAGACTATTTGGACATGAATAGACAAAAATTTTCAGATCAAATATTACTAATACTTAAATTATGATATGGATGAGATAGTTCATACTAGACAATAGCCAAAGATTTTAAGTTTGAATACCCTTTATTTATTATTTATAACATAAACGATTTATACTTTTGAGTTTAAGAGTTGTTTTGGTACGAATTCTCAATTATAAGTGATTCTCAAATAGAGGTTAAAATTTATGTACCACCTTTCTAAAAAAATATCATTGCTCATAGATTAGCCATAGGGATTAAAATCAGATTTTTAGTAAATTTTGATAAAGTTGATGAAATATTTGATTAAAAGGATGTGTCATCAATGGAATATGTAGTTAAAATTAATAGTTTACTTAAATTTAAATTAAAATCTGAATTTTAATTGATACTGCAAGAGCTAAACCCTAAATTTACCTCAAAACTTTTGGTAGATACTCCTCCGGTATTTGTACGAATGAAATAATTCTTCTCGAGCACCACGTGAAAATTTTACAAATTTCTTGTTTGAGAGTGAAATTTTGCAAAATTATAGAGGTGGAACTGCAATTATTTTCCAAAACGCCGTGAGCCGGTCCGGTGAATCCACGGCAATCCAGCTTTTTCCAATTCTCCGATGTCCAGATCCTCCCTTCTCTCTCGATTCTAACACAGAACTATGCACATATAACTTGCTCAAACGATCACACATGAATGCTAGTGGTAATTAATATTATGTACTATGATCCCCGACATGAATGAATGCTAATGGCATCGAAGCTAACCCCAACAATCATTACATGGCTAATCCTTCCCACTTGTCTTCTGATCTTTCTTTACTCCTCACTCCTCCCGTTCTATACCGCCCCAAACTCACGTTCTTCCGACTCCAAGAATCAGATTTTAGCCCCACCCCAATGCAAACTCTTCAAAGGGCGTTGGGTTTTTGATCCCAATCACAAACCCATGTACAATTCAACCTGCCCATTTCACAGAAACTCTTGGAATTGCATTAAGAACCAGAGAGAAAACATGGGTCGTATCAATTCTTGGAAATGGGTTCCGGAACAGTGCGATTTGAACCGGATAGACCCTGCTAGATTCTTGGGTTTGATGAGGAATAAGAATATTGGGTTTGTTGGGGACTCTTTGAATGAGAATTTTTTGGTGTCCTTTTTGTGTATACTTAGAGTAGCTGACGCTGGTGCCAAGAAGTGGAAGAGAAAGGGAGCATGGAGAGGGGCTTATTTTCCAAAATTTAATGTCACTGTGGCTTATCACCGAGCAGTTTTGCTGGCAAAATATGAGTAAGCATTATAGTTAGTGACGTGCTAAAATACCAAGAAATAATTCCTGATTTATTCATACTGGAATTATTACATATTGGCAATATTCGTGTATTTGATTCAAGCCAGGATTTCGTGATTTAAATTGTGTATCTTGAGTGCTGAATAACGTGGTATCTAGCAAATTTTCATGTATAGTGCATTGTTCATGAATTGTTTTGAGGAATTAGCCTCGATACTGAAGTGAACTGTCTAGCTAGCTTAAAGTTCTTGAGAATGCAATCATTTATTAGTGAAATATATGTAAACGAACCTAAAGCATAGTTCTACTACAGTTGCGTTTTATAGTTACTTAAAAAAGTACTCCATGCATTCACCGTGCGTTCTTGGCATTTCCATCCTTTTTAGTGGGTGATGCTATATCAAGACATGACAAGAGAACTGCCACAGAAACATTAGTGCACAACTTTTTCTCCATAAATATATTTGGGTAAGTTTCTTAAAATCGTTTGACCACTTATAGGGTTAGTTGGTGGATGCACATGCTGTGTCTTAGGAAAATCTATTATCTATCTGAGCATCAGAGGGTTGATGTTCTCAGCCAACCAAATTATTTTCTTTGTTTAACTGCCTAGGCATCATGCTCAGGCTGAACTCCTGTAAATTTTAATCCAAATGAAGAATTAGTATCTGAACTTACCCAATTTTTTCAAATAATTATTTTGTTTCCCCTGCATTGACATTTTAAGAATGTTTAATCAAGATAGTAATATAATAGGCATCTGTTTTCTTGAGATTTTGGATTAGCTATTAAATCCTCTCCCTCACAGGCTTATTGTTGATTAAATGCAGGTGGCAGCCTCAAGAATCTGAATTGTCTGATAAAGATGGAGTCAGGGGTACATATCGAGTGGATATTGATATTCCAGCAGATGATTGGGCTAATATTGCTGATTTCTATGATGTTCTTGTCTTTAACACTGGTCATTGGTAATTCCCTTTTCTCCCGTTCTCTTGGCCATAACTAAGATAATCACGTTGCCAAATTTATGGAAAAATTAATGAACGATTTTTTCTCTCAACTCGTGATTAGTTCATGTTGGCCTGATTTTATGAATTCTGTTCGTCGCCTCGTTTGTGGTATAGTACGACCATGATGGTAGGATCGGAACTTGAAAATTGAGCTTATGCTATTAACAGAAAAAAGCAGTCTTCTATGTTTTTCTTAACATTGCTTCCTTTTGCTACTTCAGCTTCAATGCTAGGTGCAAGCTTGATTCTAGATGGATTCTTTTGTCATGTTTTAAGTAATGTGATATGTTTTATCATGTATTGTTAGGATGGCACTTTCCTATCTATTGTAGGTGAATTGGAAATAGTTCAAAGCAGTTAAGGACCTGTTCAAACCCCTTGAATCTCTTCCTCTTACAAATGCCTTTATATAGGCGGCACACTGAACCGAGAAAACTGAATTTGGAAGCAGAGGAAAAGAAGGATCTGATGATGCCTTCAACTTTCTACTAGAGATCATAATTGCACTAGGTTTTAAGTTTATTTTCCATAAATTGTGCTGGTTTGGTGCAGTTCATGATTGGAATGGTGTACCTTTCTTTTTTACATTGCTAGATCATTAACATTATATTATTTTAAAATTTTCTTTTGCTCACTATTATTTTTAGGTGGGGCTATGATAAATTCCCGAAAGAGAAGCCTCTTGTTTTCTTTAAGGGTGGAAAACCAATACATCCTCTAGAAATGTTGGACGGGTTTAAAGTTGTTGTTGAGAGTATGGTAGCTCACATTGAGAAAGCATTCCCCAAAAAGACACTCAAATTCTGGCGGCTACAATCACCGAGACACTTTCATGGCGGTGACTGGAATCAGAATGGCAGTTGCTTGTTTGACAATCCCCTCGAGGAACTTCAGGTATGCAATACAGAAAGTCTCCATTTGTTCTTTGATTTCTTTGTTTTACATGTGGAACTTTTGGAAATGCTCCCTTTTTATTCTTCTCACTGAAACAGGCATAGCAAAGTAAAGATTGTTGCCTGATTTTTAATGTTAAAGTACTCTGAATTACATAATTATCTTCACAATTGGTCAATATGAAATTAATTAAATCACATAACAAACAATTTCGAAATTGTTATTATTATCGTATCAGCAATAGAATTAACAACTGATGCCTGTGCAGCTTGACTTGTGGTTTGATCCCAGTAATAATGGAGTGAACAAGGAAGCAAGACAACTGAATCACCTCATTGAGTCGGCACTAAAGGGGACAAGTATCAGAACACTCGATCTGACTCATATGAGTGAGTTCAGAGCAGATGCGCATCCAGCGATTTGGTTAGGAAAAAAGGACGCAGTTTCTGTCTGGGGTCAGGATTGCATGCACTGGTGCCTACCAGGTGTTCCGGATACATGGGTCGATATCTTGACACAACTGATTGGATATAGCTTGGAGATGGGGTGAAAGGAGCAAAGGGATTCTATGAAATTGGATTTAGAATTGCGGTTGCTCCCAATGACTCTAGTAGAGAATGATTTCATCCTAGAAGCAGGACAATTAAGTTGCAGGTAGTTTCTTAGGACACATAAATTGAATTGCCATTTCCTTTCATTGTATTTTTCATATATGGAGTTAGTTTAGTACATCATAAAGATAGCCGGAATTTTTGTATCTTATATTTTATTTAGTTTGTATTGTTTTGAGAAAAGAGGTCCCTATAGCAAAGCTAGAATACTATAAAATTCCGATAAGAACATATTTTGAGCTGTAAAAGCTTCCAAGGACCTTTTCTTTTCCTATGTTTTAGTTTTAGCAGTCTAAATTCCGTGCTCTTCTTGTAACTCGGGACTCTTTTCCGTTGTAATTGTTTGATTTTTTGAAAGAAAAATCTTTCGGTGCAACCAGATCCTCCTTGACAAAGTTTACGAGTTCTTAGAAATCGGAGGCTCTAAGAACATATTTTGAGCTGTAAAAGCTTCCAAGGACCTTTTCTTTTCCTATGTTTTAGTTTTAGCAGTCTAAATTCCGTGCTCTTTTTGTAACTCGGGACTCTTTTCCGTTGTAATTGTTTGATTTTTTGAAAGAAAAATCTTTCGGTGCAACCAGATCCTCCTTGACAAAGTTTACGAGTTCTTAGAAATCGGAGGCTCTGAGGTTTGATTGTAGTATGTTTTCGTCTCTCGTCCTGTCTGATTTTTTATTGGTAATGAGGTTTTTGTGCACATGATCGTCATGTTTCTGTCTTTATGTTCATGATTTGGCGTATGATCCATTTTGCATATTTACAGATTGGATCAAGACTATTTGACTTAATGGTTCAACTCCAAGGCAATAGCTTCTAATTTTGGGGTGATGGTTTCTCCTTATCAGCTGTGCTGGTTTATTCAATGCACCGGTCGTTGTGATGGTGCTTTATTTAAAAAAAATAAAAAATAATAAATAGCATCCCGCTTTGTTGGCAGAACAAGCTGGGTTTGCCTACCTTACACCTGTATGCACGGGGGGAGGAGTCAGACGCGTAATTGTGGTAGTTGAATCGGGTAATTTGAATTTCGTTGTCACTTATTTAATGAAATTATGCGTGTGTTTGCTTTTAATGGGAAAAATGAATTACACCTACAAGTGAGGGGCGTGCTGAAGATAATGTTTAGAATGCTTTGCATGCGGTCCTTTTTAACAAGTTAATCTTTTAGATCAAGTGATTTTAATATAATTTTTCTCAAGACTAATGCAACAAAATTACTTCGCATTGAAGATAATCCTCTATTGGCATGTTCTTTTCTTTTGTGAGAACTTGAAAGAAAACATATCCTATGACTTTAACGAGACAATAAATTAGACATCGACTACATAAATTATGCTATGATGCAAGGAACAAGGATATACTTAGTGATGGCAATTGGCCGAGCCGAACCGGCTAGGCCCTTTAACCCACGAGCTCGTGAAAAACAAGCCAAGCCCACGATTTTTTTTTAATTTTTTTTTTTTGGTACATTTTTTGCACCTTTTTTTTTAAAAAAAATTTCATATTTTTGGACGAGCTCGTGGGCACAATGCCCCCGAGCCGCTCGTGGGATCGAGCCCCCTACTCGGCTCGAGCTCGTCGAACACGAGCCGTTCGGCCCGTTTGACATCCCTAGATATACCAATGACTGCTGTGGAAGCATCAAAGAGGACAGTATGGAGAGTTGAATGTGTTTCTTTTTTGGAGATTATGAAATAGATTTGTTTTGTACTCCAAATTGAGAATTAGAATTGTTGTTAGTTAACAACCCACTTCATGTCCAACTTGAACGTGTTAAACATGCTGCCAACAAGAGTCGGGATCAAGTGTAAAAACAAAGTTTTCCTTCTTTAACCATTGTACATGTTCCAAGTTATTGGGTGCAGATTATACTTTCTTTCTTCAGATAGGGACTCTTACGAGAGGAATTTGAATATCTACTATAATAAGTTCCTGAAGGGTTCAATTAAAAGTAATGTTATTTACATTCAACGACTACAGTAGTCATCTTTATATGACAATTTGTTATTTGGGCATTAGCTTGTTATTTGAGACAATAGATACTGCTGTCTTATACTGTGAATAACATTATTCTTCAATCAAAGCCAATTACAGAAATATCTTTGAAACGTTGAAGACTAACCTGAGAATTTCAAACTTCTTTCTTTTATTACTCTGCTTACAGCCATTTAAATTAAATCCCCACCAATAGGAAGGCAAGGATTTATTCTTGGAAGGCAAGTGGGAACTTGGAAGGCAAGGATTATTCTTGGAAGGCAAGGTGCAACTTAGATTGGCTTGCTTGGCACTTTGTCAGACCAGGTGGGGAGCGCTCGGACCCTGGCCAGTCGGAGGCACATCCTGCGATTAACCGGACTGTGTGAAGAGGGGTCGGATCACAGACCCAAGATTAGTCAAGAATTGGACACCTTGTAAAAAAAAAAAAAAAAAAAAAAGTTATGCAAGGCTCCAAAAGAACTCGACAATACTCAGATGAATATCAGCTCCGGGGGAGGAATTTTATCCTCCAATTAGATAAAATAACAATATGATATTGAGAAGGTAGATTCAAGAAGCTCACTTCTGACTGTCTTCAATTTTGGCTCGTATCTTCTGTTCCAGTCTGGAGAACTTTGTGTCGGGACGGAAAATTCTGTTGAGAGCATGCATATTTTCGAGTATCTCACTTAGGGACCTGTTCTCGTTTCCATCACATCGTAGATGTTGCATTGGACCGTGAAGCAGTTTGTTCACTATTCCTGTACCAAGATCATATATGGCTTTCTTTTTGTTCTTCGGAATATCATCGCCAATCTTAGACAAACACTTGTCGAACTCAGATGACCTAATTCTTTCTGCATATGCCCTAAGCTTCTTGATGGTTGGAACAGTTTCGAGGGAGTCTTTCCAGGCTTCAAATTGTTTCACTTTCTCTTCGATTATTGCTTGAGCTTCCATTGCTTTGTGCAACCTGTCCTCTTTGTTAGCTTCCACAACTTCTTTCAGATCATCCACACTGTAAACACGTGCAGTTTCAACATCTGAAACACACGATCCCACATTTCGTGGAACAGAAATATCCATGAATAGCCTCCTACCTCCAATATTAGGGCTCAAGGGGGGAAGAGCCTGAACCTGCTCTTTTGAAAACAGAAGAGTTTCTGAAGCAGTACTGGTGAAGACGACATCAGCTTCGGCAGCACATGTTAACACTTCGGAGAGAGGCCTGTAAAGTATTTCGACATTCTCAAGCTCATTGCGAATGGCAGAAACTCTGTCCTCGGTTCTTTTAACAACAATTTTTTTTGTGCAACCTTTCGCAGCCAAATGTTTAATTACAAGTTTTCCCATCTTGCCGGCTCCAACAACCAACATTCTAGCAGTTGCAAGAGAAGATTGTGGAATTTTCATTAAAGCAAGTTCCACAGCAGCTGAACTAACTAAAACTGATCCTGACGAAATACTTGTCTCAGTTCTCACACGTTTTCCAACCGTGATTGCATGCTTAAACAGCCCGCTGATTTTGCGATCAAAGCCAGAGATGCCCTGTCCAGTTTTAACTACTTGTTTTACCTGTGCAAGAATTTGACCTTCTCCTAAGACAAGGGAATCTAGCCCAGCAGATACTTCAAATAGGTGATTTGTGGCATCCTTCTTATACAGCAAAAATCGGTGCTGACAAAGCTCCGAAACAGGAACAGCACTAATCTGCCAACAAAAGATATACATAGTTGGCCGGGATTCGTGTAATTAAACCTAGGATGCACTGACACCCTCTTGGGCAACACATGTTGGACACTGACACGTGTTAGGCATTGTGTATAATTATTTTTTGGCTATCATTAGTTTGGACACATGTTGGACACTGACTCATTGCCGACGTGTGTTGGAAATGGTGCTGGTGTGTCCAAATTATCTTTTGATTTTGTACCATTGGACCCATCGCCAACACGTTGTGGAGACAAGGGGAGATAAATTGTTGACACGTTGTCGATACATTATCGGCACAACAGAATTAGTGTCCAATACTCGTGTGCGTGTGTTGGTGATCCCTAGACAAACACACAAACCTGCACTAATTGGAATTTCCCTGTTTGTTGGGTAAAAGATAAATCCTACATGGCAGAAACGTTGACCAGAGGACCTAGACTATTTCGCACTATTCTCCTTTTAAGGTAAATCCAGCTGGCAGCTATCGAAGCCAACAAAACACGGCATAATTAAAGAATTTACAAAACTATCATACCAAAATTAATTCCTATTTTTCAATGATTAATGTCTCAATTACATTTTTATTGTTAAATTTCAAGGCAGTGGAAGAGTTTGTTATCTCCTCCACTCTCTCCACAGATGATTAACGAAGTGAACGCACATAAAAATAATAGAGCATATTGGTGCCTTTGACATCCATTCAGTCACTTCTTTAACCCCGCGATGCTGTGACAAAGCCACAACGTATATTTCCATCCGGTTGCGAGTGCTAAGAACAGAAGCTTCCTCTATATGATTAAGAGCACACAGTTCACCAATTGCTTGGGGCCATTGAGCTTCTTGTATAGAGAGCTTCTCACGTATCTCAATTGGAGCCGATCGGAAGTTAAGCCCTACAACTACAATACTGCTCGTTTCCTTTGTATATCCTGTGAGAAAAACTTAGATAATCTCTCCAATACTTGAATTAAGAAGATTTGAAGAATTATATGCACATAAACGGTACACAAACAAAATAGATTCCATTTCCCACTCTCTAGCAAACAGCATCCCACAACTACACAATGCAAGCCACTGAAGTAGTTAGCTCAAACAACCATCCACCTAATTAAAAGATAAAGGGAAAACAAAATGAAGTTGAGTTGAACCGTCTACCATCAACTAGAAACCAACAAAGGTATTCCCTTTCAAGAATACAGAACGCCGTCTAATATAATTTTATGTAATCCATGAGTCTTGAGATATTTTCTATACCATATTTAATTGTTTTCACTCCCAAATTCATTCATCCTGTTAGAAAAAAGTTTGTTTGCTAATTCTTT